TCTTTGGACAAATAGTACTGGGCAGAGGGCAGCGTCTTCTGCATAAGTCACCGGTCAGCTTGTATCTGATCCCAGCTCTTTGTCCTCCACACGAGGCCAGCAGGAAGGCAGTTGTCCCCACATGGGGTGGCTTCATCTCTGCCAGGTGGGCATCGTGGCTGAGGTTCCTGGGAGCTTCCGGGAGGACGGGGACAACCTGTCCTCACAGTCAGTAAAAGAGGCCTGCACTCAGGGAAGGGGCCCGGGATGGAGCCAGGCCTCTGCCAGGGCCTCGGGACTCACTGAGCAGCGGGGATCGCACCTGGGCTTCAGGGGTGGGGCTGTGCAGGTCGCAGGGGCACATAATACCTAGGGAAGGGTCTCCAAGGTCGGGCCGCCTGGCCGGGACTGGACCCTGAAGCAGTGTGGGTCTGAAGGTCAAAGCTTCCGGAGAGATGCTCTAGGAATCCACAGGGGGGGCAAGCCTGGCGGGGAGCCGGGTGCTGGGGAAGGGCTCAGTGGTGACTTGTGAACCAGACAGAGAGACAGAGCCTCGTCGGCCAGCAACAGAATGACTAAGAGGTTCGCTCGGCCCATGTCCCCCGGACAACCCGGCATTGAAGAGTCAGCTTGCAAAACCCAGGATGTGGACCACGGGCTCTGTGGGGCCAGCAGTGTGGCCACTGACTGCTGCAGGGCTGGGGCGATCCACCCTGGCCTTCCTGCCGCCCCGCCACAGGTGGACTTCCAGAGCGATGGTCCCTGGGGTCCTCTGCTGGGAGGAAGCCCTGTCACACAGGAGAGGGCGACTATCAGGACGCAGCAAGGACCCCTCCGAGGTGGGCTACCTGCTGGCTCTGGGGAGGAGCAGGGGGCCGCCTGGGTTCTCTGGCTGCACCTCTCTGCACTGCCCCCGACAACCCTCCCCAGCCAGCCTGCCCCATATGCTGCTGCCCTGGTGGAGCCGAGGGCCCCACTGACGTCTGCCCAGGATGGGTGGACGGGCAGCTGTGCATGCAGCAGTGACATCACAGCCGCGGACCACAGCCACCAACGAACAGCCCTGCATGAAATCCCTCTGCCCCCTCTGCTGTCAAGAGAACTCAGGGAGGAGGGAGGAGGGACGAGGGAAGAGGGACCCAGCACCTGCTCCTGCCGCAGCACCGCAGCCCCCTCCCGAGCAGCGAGCAATCGCTGGGCTGAAAGGAGCAGTCTCTCCCACCCTCTCCCGGGCGGCCCCGGAGGCTCAGGGAGGCCGGAGCAGAGACGAGGCCACAGTGTGCTAGGCGGGCAGGCAGGGCTTGCTGCTGGTCACCAGGGTCATGCTCAGCTGGAAAGGTGGCCGTGGGCCCGGGCTCAGCAGCAGAGAGCCCACCAGGGTTCTTCTGCCTTGAGGCTCCAGGGCCAGCGCCCCCAGGATGCCTCCTCTCGCCTGAGCCTCAGGAGTGCCCAGCCCGGGCAGCACCTTGGCCTTTTTCCCAGCCTGGGCCTACCCGTGGACTGCCCATCTGCAGGCTGTTACCCGGGAGAGCCCACACAGGATGTCACTCGCTGCCCTCCTCCTCCATTCTCCCTCCTGCTGGCCTTGGCCTCCCTCCTGCCTGCCTTCCGTCTTGGTCCCTCTCTGCAGAGCCTGCTCCCTCCGTCCCTCCTTCCTGTGGCATCTCCCCTCTGTCTCTCCTGTCCCTTCTCTTAATCACTTTTATTTTGAAAACCCATCACTTTTATTTTGAAATACTTTGGCTCGGGAAGCTACACACTAGTATGGAAGAGCTGTGTCCCCTGCCCTGGTCTCCCAGGGCGCCCCCACCTCAGCTCACAGGGACCCGGGACCCAGCGACGGGCCCGCTGCCTTCACCTGTGGTGGCATGAGTGTGTGTGTGTGTGTGTGTGTACGTGTCTGTAGTACATCTGAGTGAGTCTTGATGCGTGTCTGTGTGTAACCACGTGCAATTTGTCTCTGTGTCTCTGAGCATCGTGCTGTGTGTCTGTGTGTCTCTGGGTAGGTGTGTATCTGTGTGTGTGTGTGTGTGTGCGTGTGTGTGTGTGTGCGCGCACATTCACGTATCTGTGTCTGTCTACGCATGTCTACGTGTATGCCCGTTTACCTGTGGGTCTGTATCAAGAGTGTGACTCTATGTGTGCCTGTCACCCTGTGTGAGTGTGTGCACTTGGCTCTGTGGCTGTCCCCACACACTTTGGTGCACTGGGAAGTGGGGTGTGGGGCTGCTGTCCCTCCCAGGCCCCACATGCCGCCCCCTGTTGCACTCATGCCTGTTTGGTCCCTGGCCCAGCGGTCACTCTGCTGTTCTCATCTCTGTGGTCTGCCCTTGGAGAAGGTTCCGTCAGTGGCTCATGGGCCATACTCTTGGCCTTGGCTCCTTCCCCACTTGGCCTGGAGCCTGAGCCGAGCCAGGCTGCCATGGCACCAGCCCTCTCCTTTCACATAGAAGGGTATCTGTGGCTGGGAGGTGGCAAAAACTTTCATTGCATATGCCAGAAACGCCCACAGCAATGGCCTTGGGGGCAGCTCAAGTGCAGGATTCTGGAGGGAGCCAGGGACAGCCTGGGAGATGATTTCCAGGGGGTGGCAGGGTCAGGGCAGCATGCAGAGTGGGGCATTCAGGGCCCATCTATTGGGGATGCTGCAGGCTTACACCTCCTGGGCCCAGCCCAGCTGTGGCTGTGGCTGCCACACTGCCCTGGGCCGGCCTCCTGGGGAGTGGTCACCTGTGGCTCCAGCATCTCCAGTCTCAGAAGGCCGAGCTCTGCCAGCCAGCCTGCCCCTGCTCTTGGAGTCTGCACGATTTGCAGAGGCTCCGGCTTCATGCAGCCAGGACGAGCTCCTGCAGGTGGGCACACAGGGAGCAGGAGGCCTGGAGTGCGAGGTGGCAGGAGGCAGTGGAGGGGCAGCAGCTGGGCCAGGGGTGCCCGGGGCCAGAAACCAGCCAGAGGAAGGCAGAGGGAGGAGCTGACTGGACTCTGGGGGCGGCTGGGAGCTGCCGAGAATGAGCCCCTGGTGGTCTCCCATGCTCCATTCCAGAAGCCGAGAGGACAAAGAGCGGCTGCAGATCACGGAAATTAAAGTGTTCAGAGGAGCGAGGAAGACAGCAGGCCAGCAGCCGCCCGCAGATGCCCATGTTGCGGGCTTCTGTCCACCTGAAAGCCAGTCCTGCCAGAGAGCGGCTGTGATCCAAGAGGGAAACGGAGCCAGAGCCCACAGTGGAGCTGCTCGGTCAGGGCAGCCTGTGAGCCTTCTGACCCTGTCTGACCCCAGCCCTTTCCTGGCCAGCCTCCTCTCTGGGCCTCCAGGCTGGGCCTCCGTTCCCCAGTTGCAGAATGGGGTGACCACGTGGGCAGCGTCATACACACAGCTGAGCACTGCAGCTTGAGTCTGCCCGCCCTGCTGATGCCAGCCAGAGCTGCTGCTGGGCTGCCCGGCAGCGCCAAGGCCCTGGGACCCACCTCCAGACGGCGCCGGGCTCCAGTCTGTTTGCTCAACAGAGAGCCTGGCAGGCACAGTTCCCCTGGTTCCAGCCCCTTTTTGAACCAGATTCATTTGATTTCTCATCTTTATTTTGGCAGGAAAAAAATGTAATTTCTAATTTAAAAATGTAGAAAGCATCCTCCTCGTCAACATGCGCCCAGCTCAGATGGTGTTTGGGAAATTAGTTGTGTCACTCACCAGCACCGGGCCCAGCAGTGGGGATGGCCTCTCCCTCCTTGCACCCCGTCACCCCCTGCTGGCCTCCTGGGGCAGCGCTGGGACCCGTGGGCTGAGGGGAGCACCTGGAGGTGCCAGGGAGCCTGGCGGACACCGGCAGGACCTGGGTGTGGGGCAGATCCCCCTCTGTGAGCTCACCCCTCTGCCATCCAGATGGCATCTCCGGGGACAAGACATGATGCCGCGGAGGCTCACAAGAGGAGTCGGGGCGACCGTGGAAGAGTGCAAGCCCAACCCAGGCCATCAGAGCAGCCTAGCTTTGCCCGGGTGCACACACAGGCTGTGAACTTGGAGCAGCCTAGCTTTGCCCCGGGTGCACACACAGGCTGTGAACTTGGAGAAGCTGTGGGCCTCCCTGGCCTTGGTCTCCCGTCTGCAGAAGGGCTGGGCCTCCCATGGCCACCACAGGCAGGGAGGACAAGTGCCTTGCCAGCAGGGGTCAGTGGGTGGCTCACACACCACGCCTGGAGCAGGAAGGGCACCCACGGGTTATTAAGGAGCTCCTGGGGGGTGGAAGACGTCCCGTGGGATCTACTTTTTCCCTCGTGGGAAAGACAGAGGCCGTGGAGGCTGAACTCTTCCCCTGACACCCCAGGTGGGTTCTACGGGAGGGGCTGCCCAGGTCCAGGCCGGCTTCCTCTCCCCACCCCCCAGCAACCCTGCAGGGGCTCTGCTCCCACAGCAGGGTGGAGGCAGAGGTGTCTGGCCTGGGCCCTCTTCCTGTCCATCACCTCCTCTCCACCCACAGTTGGGGAGACTGTCCCAAGGCCTCAGGTGTCCACACCGCTCAGGTTTCCTGTTCCAAGTGGCAGAAACACAAGGTTCGTGACCCGAGTCAGGAGAGGATGCCCTGGCTCACTGTTCCCAGGAAAGACACCCAACGGGCCCACGGAGGTCCACGGCCTGCTGGTCTAAGGCTGCGTGCTGGGCGCCTGCTGAGGGCCGGGTGCCCTTCCAGGCCCTGCCAAAGAGGTGACAACGAGAAGAAACCAAAGGAAATGCCCGGAGGTGACCGGCGTCCACGCCACAGTGCAGGGGAGCAATGGAGCTGGGAGGGCCCGGGAGCCCTCCCCAAGAGAACGAGGGGCCTCTGAGCACCACCCTTGGGCTGCCGTGTGCCCTGGGTCCCTCCTGACGCCGGCACTCTCACCTGGAGAGAAAGGCGGGCTGCGCTCACCCCGACTCCCCACCAGCCCGGAGCCAGACTGCCGTTAACAGAGCCCAGGGCAGCACTCTGGTTGGCCCAGGTCGGGCTGGGCAGCTGCCCCTCACCAATCAGCTGAGTCGCAGGCAGGGCCGAGGGGACTGGCAGCTCCCACACTCACAGGCTGGAGGGGGACGGAGGACCCAGGCTCCTGGAGTCAGAAGTGGGGGGTCTCAACAGCCTCAGGACTCGAGGCCTCTCCACCTCCCTGTCAGCACCGCTGCCCTGAGAGGTGGCCACCTTCTCCTTGCCCTGTGCCCAGCACAAGGTACAAGCAACTCTCCACCTTCCGACCTATTTGAAGCACCTCTTGGCCCCCTCGGTGCCAGGATCCACCTCTGTGTCCTCCAAGACAGGGCTCTGGGCTCTTCGCCCTGCCCTATCTTCGAGCCCCTGAGGACCGCTGGCCCCCACCAGAGCAGCTGTGGTGGCTCTGGATGGAGATTGGAGGTGCCACCATTTTTGTGCAGTGACCTTGACACCTTCCTACTCTCCGGTAGCCTCGGCTTCCTGTCGTCAAGTTGGGCTGCCGCCTGGGACAAAGCACATGGCCCAGGCCTGAAGGGCCTGCCTTCTGGCTGGTACAGCAGGTAGATGGCCGTGAGGAGCCTGTGGCTGGAGAGGTCGCCTCCCACAGATGGGCGCTGTCCTGGAGGCCAGGGGCTGAGGTCCAGCTCCTCCCTGGGGGAAGCCCACCGGCCTGCAGGGCTGGGCCTGGGCAGGGGGGCTGAGGATACAGGCCCAGGACGGGCGGGCGCAGTCCTGCCAGGGATTCCCTGTAGCAGACCCTCCCTGTGGGGCCCACACGCAGGCCGGGGCGCAGAGGGAAGCCCTGGGTGTGTGATTTGCCACCCTCCGGGGACTGCCGGCCTCACCTGCTGGTCTGGATTGCCCAGGGGAGAAGGCGCTCCCCCGGGCGGTCTAGAGAGGAGCCCAGGAGCACCCACCTCGTGCCACTTTCTTACAGGTCGTGCGTCACGCGGCCGTGGAACCCTAAGGCCATCCTGAACACCAGCGCGGGAGGCAGAATCAGTGAGTAGGTCAGAGTCCCCAGGACCCACGGGCTGGGGCCAGCATGAGATCAAATCTGGGGTCAAATGTCCTCACTGGGACACTGTCACCATCATAAGCCACCAGCAGCCGTGGCGCCAGGGCGTCCTGGTTACTTCAGGCAGATACCTGTGTCTGTCCACTGGCGGCTCCATCCCGGCCTCTTGTGTCACCCGGGCACTCACTCCGAGGGGTCCAGCCTCTGTCAAGGACGGTGAGCACCCGCTGAGCAGAGTGGCAGTGACCCCCTGGTCCCCAGTGTCTCCCTGCGCGGCTGAGCCTCCAAGGATTCTCCATTCCTATAGTACCCACCCTGACCACAGGGCGCTGGAGGGAACCCATCCCACATGGACGCCCAGGGCCACTGTCGCATGTGATCATGGCCAGGTGTCAAGCGCGTCTCCTCCTGGGTTTGCCACCAAGGGGACTCCTGTGTGAGGCTTGCTGAAGGTGGCCCCTGTGCCTGCCAGCCATGGCGCTGCCCACCCTCGGGTCATGCACAGGAGTCTGGTGAGCTGGAGACACACTGGCCAGGAGGAAGGAACTGCGAGTGTGGACACCCTGCCCTTTGTCAAGCACTGATAAAGGTTTCCCCGTCCCTCCACATGGTCACCCGTGTGCCAGGCAGGGAGCTGGCAACCATGTCGTGGTAACTCTAAGACTTAGATGCCTCCCCTGCTTCCGTTTTCTGGTTCATCCTCTAACACGCACGTCTGCTGTCCAGGGCTTGCTGCTTGAGGAAGGCCAGACCCTGGCCAGGAAGGCAGACCCGAGATGGCGGCCGCCCTGGTAGAGGGCTTGGCCAGAGCAGCCGCAGCCGTGAGTACAGAAGGCCCAAGGCCTGTCTCCACGGCAGGCGGCCGCTAACCCGAGCAGGAAGCTGTTCCAAACAGCGTGTGGCTGAGGGTGGCACAGGTCACCAGGTCCCCTGCTGGCCACTTGCCCCCAGGGAAGGAGGGTGACGTCTAAAGTTAAAGTAAGTACCTGGAGTCAGAGGAGGGCCGCCGCTGATGCTCAAGGGAGGCTCGGCCATGGCCTCAGTCAGTACCAGTGGCCAGCGCAGCCCCCGGGGCAGGCAGGACGTTCCCAGGGTCAGGGGCATCTCACCTGCTCTCCATCAGGGCCAGGGTGCTGGCTTCTTGGCTGTCCCAAGTCAGGAAGGACCGTGCCTTGTAGGTGCAGGACAGCTGGGGACGGGCCACAGGGGGCTGAGTGGGAGAAATGGGCAGAAGCTGGATTAGGGGCCAGCATGCACCCGAGCCTCCACCCTGCACGGGAATCAGTGGAAATGAATTGAAGGAATTGAATTTCGTCAGATTGAAGGAAGGAAATCAAGTTGAAAGGAGGGAATCCAATAGAGAGGGATTAAAACGAGTTGAAAAGTGAAGATCTCGGGGGTTGGTCTGGGTTCTGGGCTGAGCGGCAGGGAGGGCTGGGGGGATGTGGGGGCATGACCGGACCCGAGTGGGGACAGGAGGCTGGGGGTGCCCACCAAACTCTGCTGCTCAAGTGCACTTGTGCTCTGGGCTTAGTAGAGCCTTTATGAAGCACCTATGGCATGCGGGCCCTGGGCTGTAACCTGAGTCAGACCTGGTGGTGCCCCAGGGCCTGAGGCACAGTAGCCTGTTAGTGCCCAGGTGCCAAGGTTAGAACCTTAAACGTGACAGCCTGGGAGTCTGCCCAGGGCTCTGCTCCTTGGAGGAGGGGTCTGCCTCTGGCCTTCCTGGGCTGTAACCACCTGGTAAGGTGCGAATCTAAGCTGAGGCCACAGGACAGAGCAGGGCAAGCTGTGGGCCTGGGCCTGGGCCCCCCGCCCTCATGGGGAGGGCACAACAGTAGCTTCCTGAGGCGAGCCCAGGACGGCACGAAGGGCAGCAACAGGGCCGTGCCCTCCGCAGCCCAGCACTGGCCAGTCGCTGGGTCTTTCTTTTAAGCCCCCAGAGACATGGGGTTTTCAGAAGCTACTTGGGGAGCCCTGACCATCTTTCCGCCTCCTAGAGGTGCGGCCAGGAGACTTCCCACTTCCTCCTCCTCAGCCCCTCTGCTCCTGAGCCCTGCAGGAGAGCCCCGCCCAGCCTTCCCAGCACCCCGTGTCCTCCTCCCCCCAGGGCTCTGAGTCTCCACACCTCCTCCAGGCAGTCCTCCTGCGCCTGACACTGTCCCCTCTGCTCTAGCCACTTGTCAACCCCGATGCTTTCTCCGCTCCTGGGCCAGCATCCTGCAGAGCCGGGTCCTGCGCAGGTCACCACACCTGGGAGTCAGGGATGGCCTTTCTCTCTGGGCCTTTCGCCCCGGGGTTGTCCAGGACTCCCTTAGACAGCAGCTCGGAGGACAGCTGGGCGGCAGAGCGTCTGGGAGAGGAGAATCCACCAGGCACCTCGGCCGGGAAGACGCCTGCTGCTCCTGTGATTCTGAACCTCTTCTCTGTTGTTTTTCCCCAACTTGTGTCAGGTTCAAGGATTTTTAGTCAATTAGTCTACGAACACCTCAGCCTGTTGACGTATTTCTAATCAGCATTTAGCGCACGTGGGGACCGTTCCACGCTCCTCCGCTCTGCCCACGCGCCCTGGCACCTGCCTTGCCTGGGGGCTTTTCCTTTTTTCCTTTCTCTTCA